ACAGCTATAAGGGCTCGAGCAAACCTAACGTTGTCAACATTTCTGTGAGAAGTGACACGTCTGTACTTGCCGTTAAACCAAGTACGTGACTGTTTGACTTTTGGTGTGGTAGCTGGAGGCTAACTCGTGACGATAAGGTGCCGAGCGATTTTTTTCCATGTGCGAAGTGGGCGGGTTCTTCGCTATAGAATCATAGGCCTTTTGTCAGTAGAAAAAAATGTGTGAAAATGAAGCTGGAAGGTTGTGATAGCTCGATGATTCCTTGTCTTAGCCCGCCCACTCTATGCGCGACGAGCAAATACAGGCACGCAACACGCCACACGGCCAACCACACGCCTGACCATAGCCACATGAACTACTTGTCTACGTCCTCTCATGTATGGCCCATAGAACGATTGTTCTCTTTCTTGGCAGCGTTACAACGTGTTCGCCGCGGAAATTTGGTCGCTCTGGCCCTGCAACGAGGGTTTTGGCACAGTTCTAACAACGTGTCATCGTGTATCGAATAGCGAGAAGATGTATAAAGATGAATAGGCTATCACAACTTTCCAGCTTCATTCTCGCGTACTTTCTTAAAGGAAAAAATGGGTAACTTCCGCGGCTGCGGACTTACCCGCTTCACACATGGAATAGATCCGTCTCGTGCGTGCAGCCTTGTTCGCTGTGCATGAAGGGGCGTGTCTGTTAGGAGGGTTTGGCGCATCGCCAGCCCGTTCTCCACCAGTTGTTGAAGCGGGTAAGCACAACAACTGGTGGAAGCGACTGAAACGATATGATACAAAATTGTTGTTTGCCGAAAGAGAAAAAAATGAGATAAATGGGCTGGCACCGTGCGTAACCCATCACCGTTGACACGCCCCATCATCTTCAGGAAACGGGACTAAATTCTTGCAGTGAGAGCTCAAGGTGTGTTCCTTCAAATGCTTGTTTAGACAATCACGACAACATCACCCCACTCCCATCATTACGGCCATCGACAAAGCAATCATTTGCTCCTCCCCCTGGAATGTTCCCGTCAACAACTCAATCAGAACAGCCAAGAAA